CCATATAACGGTATTTTCGAAATATGCAAAAACTACGATACTTCCGCAAATACTGGATCCAAATTGTTGAAAGTTGGTATGCGAAGTAGAAACTTGGCATAAAATAAGACAGTTATGAAATTTTTGAAAAATGGGCGTGGCCCCGCCCACTTATGATATAAAGCTGTATCTCTGTAGTCCCTATACCAATCCCCACCAAACTCGCTGAGAACATTTATTAAGGCTTGACTTAGAAACCTGTTGAAAATTTTTGAAATCCGACAAGAACCACGCCCACCTCCCATATAACGGTAATTTACAGAAATACGAAAACTGCTATAAATAATTAAATATTTAAGCTAATTTACTCAAAATCGATATATGCAATAACCTCTTAGCAGAAAATTATAATTAGGGAAATTTTTGGAAAATGGGCGTGACACCGCCCACTTATGCCTACATATGTGTATCTCGGTAACCAGTTTACCGGTTCATTTATCAACCTTGGCATGAAAAAGCAATATGCTGCAAATTTTTGAAATCGGACTAAAATTACTGCCACTTACGATATAACGGTACATTTCAGAAATACGAAAACTCCGATTTTTTAATAAGCTAAGACGCCAACTTACAACAATCACTTAACAAGACACAAGATGATTGATTACTTACTACGTAAGTGTATATTGATAACCGCCTTACCGATTTTCACCAAACTTGGTCCAATTATTTCAATAGATTATAGTATATTATCGAAATGTTTGGAAAAATACTCTTGCTTATCATGCAGTTTACTGAAAGGTGAAAGAACGATATTTAATATGTGCGCCGGGTATATAATTTTCGGTTTCGCCCGAACTTATACTTCTTTACTTGTTTAAATTGAGATCTGAGCATGCTTGGCCCCCGCGTGCGTCAGTAGTGCAAATGCCATACAGAAATGAGAAAGATTGCGCCGACAAGGGTGCAATATCAAAGTTGTTGGCGAGCTCTCAAATTACATTTATTTTTTTTTGAACTCATATATTTTTATTGCGATCTGTTTTTTTTTCTTTTTAACATTAAGCAATATTTGAAACTTAAATACTAAATAAGAAAATAATCATGTATGGAGTACACCGAGTGGCGCAACCATATTCTATTCGCAGGTATTCAATGTTATTAGAGATCTAATATTGATTTCCTTTTAAGGCGCTGGAATGACACTGTATGAGAAGTGAGTGTAGAAATAAGAGGATTTGGGTGATCATGAATTTTTTGTCGGTGCGCCAATGCGTGCTTTTTAATTTCGGAAGCAACAGTAGGGGTCGTCCCTCGGCAGGCAATGGCAAACCTCCGAGTGTATTTCTGCCATGAAAAATAGCTTCTCAAAAAATACAATCGCCGTTCGGAGTCGGCGTAAAACTGTAGGTCCCTCCCTTTGTGTGACAACATCAAGGCGCACGCCACAATTCTTAGGTGAAGCTCGGCCAAACACTAACATATGTGTAAGCGCCAATCTATTATTATTATTAACAGTAGGGATTTTAAGGTCACGGTGTGTTTGGTTATTTGTGACATAGAGCGGAATCTTTGGAGTATTTCTATATTAGAGGTTGCTGCAGAGCCCCATAATTGTATTTCGTATGTCCATACTGGTTTTAAAGCACATGAATAGAGTAAGAGCTTACTCTCGAGTGAGACTTGAGACTTCGGGTTCAGTAACTAATGTAAATTTCTGAGCTTCATTCCCAGTGCTTTGCGTTTAGTGAAAATATGAGTTTTCCACGTAAGCTTGCTGTCGAGGTGCATGCCTAATTATTTTGTCGCATCACGCTGTGGAATATCCACGATATTAGGTTTTACGGGCGGGCAGGTTTTACGTTTAAGGGAGAACGTAACCTGGTCAGACTTTGTTTCATTTGGCTTAATTCCCCAATCTTTCAGCCATTGTGTTATTTTGTTGAAGCCATTTTGGAGTTTAACCGAGGCGAGTTTTGGAAGGGTGACCATTGCGAAAATTGCAGTATCATCTGCAAATGTACCAACAATTGCTCCTTCGGATGCTGGTAAATCATATGTGTATAACAGGTAAAGGATGGGACCCATCACACTGCCTTGAGGTACACCAGCTGAACTTTCGTAGAGTTCAGACTGCTCCTCGCCTTGCTTAACCCTTCTGTTACATTAAGGTCATTTGATGACCTTTTTCTGATTAATTTTCTCATATATCTTGATAGGAACAAAATTTTAGAATTTCCTTCCATGAATTCCTTTATTGAGGAAAATCCCTACGAAAAAGCATAAAAAGAACGATTTAGTTTTATCAGACAAGTGGTAACGTCAAGAGGTACGTGTGGGCACCATAAGGTCATTCAGTGACCGTTAGTCGTTTTGCACGTGAAGTGTGTAGCTCGCGCCTCTTTTGTGATTAGATTTTGCGTGCAAAAGCAGATATTCATTAATTTTATATAAAATGGAAAGAGTGCTGGCATCGGTAAGTATTTTAACTCCTCTATTTGATTCTTTGTGCTGTATTTATGAACTAAAATATGGTTTAGCGGCAAAATCGTCTGACAGAAAGCCAAATACAGCAGATCATTGATGATGATGAGGATATTGATGAATGTAGTGAAGTTGGGGATGAAGACTATATAGTGGAAGAGTTTGAGTTCGACGTTTCTTCTGACGAATATATTGAGAGTGGTGACGAGGAAAGTATTGTGCCTGTAGTGGAAAATGAAAGCAGTATTCCCGTGTATTATTCGAAGGATCGAGATATTGAGTGGTCAACGGAGCCGGTTGGACACAATAGTGCTAGGACCAGGGTAGAAAATATAACTCACGGGAGACAGGGAGTTACTGCATATGCAGTACACCGTATTTCCAATATCAAGGAATCATTCGACCTATGCTTTACGGCCCAAATGAAACGAATGGTAATTCAATTCACTAACATTGAGGGCAATAAAAAAATTGGAGAGAGGTACAACCAAATAGATGAAATAGAATTGGACGCCTTTTTGGGTATTTTAATTTTAGCAGGTAATTAAATTAGTATGCTTTTGCGTATTTATACATAACCGAAACATAAAAATAAATTCAATTGCAGGCGTATATCGTTCACACGGAGAAAGTATTCGAAGCCTTTGGGATAAAGTACATGGTCGACCAATATTTCGCGCTACAATGCCACTTGGCAGGTTCCTTGAAATTAATCGTGTTTTGCGCTTCGATAACAGGGATAATAGCAGGGCTCAAAGACTAAACGATAAACTTGCTCCGATTCGCGATTTTTACGAGAAGTGGGTGGCTAATTTACCGCTGCTATATTCGCCATACGAAAATATTACAGTAGATGAGCGACTAATTCCTTTTAGAGGCAGATGCCCCTTCTTGGTTTATATGCCAAGTAAGCCAAGCAAATATGGAATGAAAGCATGGGTAGCTGCGGATATGCGTACAAAATATTGCCTTAACTTCCAAATTTATTTGGGTAAAGAGTCAGCGTCCAAACCAAGGCCAACGAGTTGTATTGGATCTAGTTAGTGGGTATGAAGGACGGAATGTGACAACTGATAACTTTTTCACCACTCGAGATTTGGCACTGAAGTTATTGGAGAAAAAAATGACATTGGTAGGAACCGTAAGAAGTAATAAAAGATTCCTACCGGTTTGTGGAACTAAGCAGGAGTTAAGACGCTTACCAGTGCTAAGCAGTCGACACTTCTTCAATGGACAAGTCACCCTTGTTCAATACGTACCCAAAAAATATAAGATGGTTACTGTGTTGAGCACCATGCATCATGATAAAAACATAATGGAAAACCACCCGAAAAAGTTGCCAGAGATCATCGGCTTCTATAATTCTACAAAATCCGGAGTAGATACAATTGACCAGCTTATAGAAACATATACCTGCAAAAGACAAACTAATCGCTGGCCTGTAGCAGTTTTTTCAAATATCGTTGATATCTCAGCGCTAAATGCCTATGTTTTGTGGACAGAAATCAATCCCTTATGGAATGCAACGAAAACATATAAGCGTAGACTTTTCCATCAAAATCTTGGCTTAGACCTCCTTAATGGAGAAATTGAACGTAGAAAACGTTTACCAAGAACTCAATCGTCAGCAGATATTGTGCGAAATGTGCGGGCAGAATCAGAGCAACCAAGCACCTCGGCAGCAGCAACTCCGAAAAAAAGAAAAGCTAGTCAACGAGCCACCTGCGCAGTTTGTCCTAGCTCAATTTGTCGCAAAACGTACGAACACTGTACTATTTGTAAAAAACCCGTGTGTCCACAACATCGTACAACGGTTACAGTTTCTACGACCTTTTTTCTTGAGCATACAAATTGAATATTTATCGTATGTATTTATATGTAGATGTGTGTATAAATAGATAAATAATCAAAAAAACTAATAAATGTTAAAAACTGCAACTGAAATTATTAACTTTTATACCGGTATATATAGAAAACCTAGGTCAGGTCATTACGTGACCTTAATGTCACATGTGTAAGTTTTTCTTAATGTAACAGAAGGGTTAACAAAGAAAAATCGATTTTTGAGACAGGACTCAATAAAGATATAATAGTTTATCGGGAGGGTACTCTTTATTTTGTAAAGTAAGCCGTCATGCCATACTCGATCGAAAGCTTGAGATATATCGAGGAATGCAGCTGTACTTGGCAAGTAATCCCGAGATTTTCGGGACCTAAAAAGTCCCCGGGATTAAAATTCCTACAGTAGTCGAAAAAATTATGGCCACACCAAATTTTCACAAGTTTTAAAATAATATTTTTGTTGTTATTTTATTTTGGTTAGTTTTTTATAGTTCATACTTTAAAAACATCCATATAAATATAAGTTTAAAGGCAGTGTCACACGATTGAGTACTTGCCAAAATTTGGTGCAAATCTTATCCCAATTGTGTGAATAGCCAAATATTTTTCTTTATCCCAATCACAGACAGGGACAGACATGGTAACCCTACCGAGCGGTCGTGAAATTTCACATAGTGCAACAAAGTTATAAATCAATTCAAAAAACAGTAAAAGACAAGAAAATAACACAGTGAATATTTAACAACAATTGACACTAATGAGTGCTTTAAAAGTTCTGAGTGAAAGTGAAGCTTGATATTTAAAATTAAAAATTTGTACCTGCGCGAGTGATAAATTCTCAAGTGAGACTCCGCCGAGTTGAAAAGAAACAAACAAAAGTGCTAGCAACAAAACAGTAGTGGATGTCCAGGCAGCCTAAAAGTATTCTATGTTTTGGGCACTTCTAAGTATTGACACTACTTCAGGGTTGCCATAGTATATTTATATTTATAAAATAAATCGTACCCCTCCCAAAGGGGGAGGGCAGGAATCGTCTCAGCCACAACAACAACAGCATAGACAACAAAGGTCACAACAGCAACAAGAATCCCAACTTCCTCTGCAGCCCGAAACACCGCAAAAATCACAGACACAACAGGAAAAGCAACAGCAACAACCGGAAAAGCAATAACAAAAACAGCAACAACAACTGTCGATCTCAAGACAGTCACCAAATTCGTGGAGCTCACAATGTCCCACCTCGGCCAATAGTAAAAATCCAAATATCTAGGATCAAATTGAGCTACTTCAAAAGCAATTACAACAAGTAAGAAGGTCTAAGTTCGGGCGGAGCCGAACATTAAATACCCGGCGCAAGTATTAAATATATGTTTTCCACCTTTCCGAAAGCTACCGCTACATGATAAGCCGGGGTGTATACATTTTAAGTAAATTAGCGTCCTTAAATTTCGAAATATTGAAATTTCAAGCATATCTGAAATTTACCGTTATATGAAAAGCGGCCTCAATTTTAGTCCGATTTCAACAATTTTCAACGGTTTGCTTTTATGTGGCAAGCACAATAACCATACCGAGCTTGGTACAAATTGCTAGAACGGTTAGCGAGATACATATATGTGATCACAAGTGGGCGGTGCTACGCCCATTTTCCAAAATTTTGTCATAAACGTATTTCTTGGTAAAGAATTGTTGCAATCATCAATTTTGAATAAATTAGCTTCAATATTTACTGATTTATCGAAGATTTTGTATTTCTCGAAATTACCGTTATATGGGATGTGGGCGTGGTTATTGTCCGATTTTAGAAATTTTCGGCCAGTTGGTATGCTGTACCAGGACCAACAACTGTGCCAAGTTTGGAAGAAATTGGTGTAGCGGTTACCAAGATATACACATGTAACCATAAGTGGGCGTGGCTACGCCCATTTTCCAAAAATTTATAATATTCTTATTTTTCGTCTAAAACTTATTGTAAATATCAATTTTGAGTGAATTATCTTCAGTAGTTACTAAAATATCGCAGTTTTCGTATTTCTGAAAATTACCGTTATATGGGAGGTAGGCGTGGTTATTGTCCGATTTTGCCCATTTTCAATACCATCCGTCCCACGCCCAAAAGAAGTTCACGTAACTAGAGCAAAGAAACACTGAGTTTTATACATACAAGCCAAAACAAGAAAGAAGTTTCAAAGTTATACTCAGAAATATGCACTCGTCTGTTGGCACCGAAGAAATCGCTGAAGCCCTACAAAATCTCGGCCATATCCCTATTAACATTTACAATATGAAACGCAGAAACACGAAAAAACCGCTACCAATGTTCACTGTAGAGCTAAAAGCAAACCCTAATAACAAGGAAATATACGATATCAAATATCCCTTCAACACAAAAATTGTATTTGAACCCCCACGCCCAAAACGCGAAATACCGCAATGCGCTAACTGTCAACAGTATGGACACAAAAAAGCATACTGCCGTAGAATATCGGTATGTATTAAATGCGCTGGCCCCCACTTGTCTGCAGATTGCTCGCGCAAGACAAAATCCAACGATGTTAAATGTGCTCTGTGTGAAGGAAATCACCCAGCAAACTATAAAAGCTACATGGTGTACAAAAATCTGCAGAAACTTAAATACACACCATTAAGAAGAATGGAGGACAACAATCCCAAAAGTATCAGCCAGCAGCAATCAGCACCTCTTTCACCCAATCGAGTCTCGCAACCGCCCCGAAATTTACTTTCTTACTACCAAATGTTGAAAAGCACACAAGGTCCGAGTCCTAGTAACTCAATCCCTCAATCAAAAGAAAACGCCTCTGATGCTACAAGCGAAACGCGAGAAATGGTAATGCTTCTCAAGCAAGTTATGCAACAAATCACAACTATGATTAATTTTCTCGTCACCCTTACGACGAAGTCCGGCATCCCTACAATCTCATGAATATTCTCCTGTGGAATGCTCATGGCCTATCAAAACACGTACTCGAGGTTAAAACGCAACTCAAGTCTAATAATATAGATATTCTCCTAATATCCCAAACCCATTTCACCGAAAAGAGCTATTTCCAAATACCGAATTACAAACTCTATCACACAATGCATCCCTATAAAAAAACACATGCTGGCTCAGCTATATTAATAAAAAACAATATTAAACACTTTAATATTAACTCATACTGCACAGAAGCTATCCAAGCTACTAATATAGTTGTCGAGGACTTGAAAGGCAAAATAACAATCTCAGCAGTATTTAGCCCACCCAAACATGCGATTATGTTAAATTCTTCAAAACTCTAGGAAGCAGGTTTTTAGCTGTTTAGCTACAACGCGAAACACCCACAATGGGGCTCTCGCCTCATCACTCCTAAAGGCCGACAACTCTTTGCGGCTATGGCAAGATTAAATCTTCACTCAGCCTCCTCAGGCTCACCAACGTATTGGCCAACCGATCCCAAAAAAATTCCAGACTTAATAGACTTTTGCGTGTTTAAAGGTGTTGCAGATAATGAAATAATATGTAATCCCTGTTTCGATATATCGTCCGACCTTTTTCCCGTAATGGTCACTCTAAGCAATAATCTTGTTGACTCAAATTCTCAATGTTCCCTTCACAACAACAGAACTGACTGGAATCTCTTCCAAAGCCTAACATCTTCAAAATTAAGTTTGAAAGACTCGCTGAAATCTAGGGAAGATATCATTGCAGCTGTTGAACACTTCAATAACTGCATCCAACAAGCTGCTTGGAGATCAACACCCATTCTAAGCAATTCACAGTGTACAATAATCCCTTCTCTTGTAAAAGAAAAACTGACCAAAAAACGCCAGGCTAGAAAGAAGTGGCACCAGACTAGACATCCCGAAGACAAATCAAGATTAAATACGCTAACGAGAGAGCTCAAAGAAATCTTGCAAAAAGAACGCAATTCCAAACTTCTTCATTACCTCAGTAACTTAGATGCAACAGCTGCCAGCGATTATTCCCTCTGGAAAGCAGCAAAAAAATTAAAGAGACCAACTCTGGCACAACCCGCCATCAGAATTGAAAACAACCAATGGGCTAAAAGTGATCTCGAAAAAGCAAGCACATTTGCACGTCACCTAAAAAATATGTTTGCTCCGCATGAAATTGAACCCTCTCCCTATACTGCACAAAGACTCTCGAACAACCCTACCAAATGGACCCACCCATAAACAAATTCTCAAAAGCTGAGGTTAAGGAAGCGATCAAAAAACTCAAAGCTAAGAAGGCTCCCGGTGACGATCTAATCCCTGGAGAAATATTAAAACAGGTCCCGGAAGAAGAAATCACTTTCCTGACTTATATTTATAACGCAACTAGCTGTACCCTGCCACGCTTTGCTTTTGCATATTCCTGTTATATGGATGATAAATTATTAACGAAACAAAGCATACGTTTCATATGTGTTTGGTTATGTAATATGTACTTGTGTGCACACAATATTTTTTGTTTTTCCATTCTCTGCATAGATATCAAGGATATCTGGTTTGCCGACACAGGAACATGCAACATCTGAGAAGTAATCCGCATCTAAATCAAAACCATACTTTTCCAAAGTTCGACCTGGAGCATTATTGATTGTGATTTCGAATGTGAATCGAATTGGGAATTGCAATCTTTTAAATTGAAATGGTGTATCGGTCGGAATCATGGGAATTCTTCACCTTTGAAGGGCCACGTTAAAATCTTTACTTACACTACTTTCTTCATCAATTTCTTAAATGCGAGTCGCGTGCCGCTGCAAAGTTTTGGCTGATTAATATTCCGCAACATAATAATTGTCAGACCTATTTTAAATTTCAGTATGTGGGGTCTCCCTGGAAGATCAATCGAGTTCAAAAATTCCGTTGGATCGTCTTTTTCTACAACGGTGTTTATCGACGTATATGCTATTTCCTCACGTTGAATGCTGGATTGAATAACATTAGTGGTATTCACCAAAGTGAGCAAGTGGCCTGGCAGTCTGGTAAAAGAGCAGATCAGCTGAA